TATAATAATTAACACTACAGCTCTCAATAGGGTTAATATTTCTAAAGGGTTGACTTGTGGTTTTATAATGCAAGCCACAGTTGCTTCGGGATGTCAGTGGGGTTGGAATTTGAAATATTTACAGGGATTCTAAAAGTGAGTAGGACCAAGATTGACAGGTGGGTATCACCTAATTTTGGTAGCCATATACTCCCCCTCGCTTCACCTGGGGATGATCAGAAAAATAACAAATACAGAATATTTGAGAAATGGCAGGGGAAGAATCACTTTCAAGACTCATAGACTGTTCTGAGTTGTTTGCTGTGTCACATAGTGATATCTTTGTGAAGGAAAGCAAAGCAAAACAGAGGTAATTTAGAGCTAGTGTGAGAAGAGAAGGAGATGAGATTAAGGGCAGAACTAAAGTTGAGTCTGAAAAGGCCAAGCCCTTATCAGTGAATGTCTAGTCAAGGAATGGTAATCGCATGCCCTTACAGATATTGCTGGACTGCAATCCCAGCATTTGAAACCATTGGCTGTGTTGTCTAAGGCTGGTGAAATTCTGTGAAAAGAACACATGCTGGTGTTGCCAAAATTATCCTGATAAACTTTAACAAATACCATTATGCACCTGTTCCTACCATCTTCTGAAATTAGCCTTGATATCAGGAACCGCTTTGAGCAATGAGTTGTGAAAAACACCTTTATATTCCCATATTATGTATACCTCTCTATCCATTTTTATGTGTGTCCTGACTTCTTAAAACATACAGCTACAAGAATGGGAGAGGAATATTGAATGATTGCTTCACTATATCACAGTGCCATTTTATGCATAATCCTGAGGTTTCATCATTAAACTTGGGAGCTTCAATCTTAATCCTGCTTCACTGGAAGAATCTTGAAGGCAAACAACCTCAGGGAAAGTGATACCTTAAGAAAGGTTTTTAACCCTGCTTCAGTGAAAGGATCTTGAGGGAAAACAATTCAAGGGAAAGTGGTGCCCTACAAAAGGTGCCTTAATCCTGCTTCAGTAGAGGAATCTTGAGGGCAAATGACACCTGGGAAAGTGGTGTCTTAAAAAGAATGCATATTTTAAAAAGTGTGCTGGTATCCTTGAAATAGGAGGAGACATCACCTGCTTGTGTGATGGAAATTGAGCAGATGGTTGAATTATAAGATGGAGGAGGGAATCTTCTATGATGGGGGTGAGTAAATTCTTAGTCTTATTAATAGATGGAATGCCATGAAATGCCACACAAAGAAGATGAATTTCCCCACTTCCCCTTTTTCCCCAGCTGATGAAGTAGAAAATCTGTCTTAGAATAAAATGCTTTAAAAACATAATGTAATCTACAAGAATAATTAGTTTGGGACACAAACTATATACTCATGTATAAGTCCTCAACTTGTATGTGAGGTCAACTTAGACAAGAGTATACAATTGTATATATGGTATTTACAAACTGTCATTACAGTTGAACAAGACCTTTCATATGCACCAAGTGAGGGTTTCTTATTGTCTTCTTTGAAAACACTCTCAACATCACATAACAAATTGATGTATAGAATACTGTTTGTTATGATGCATGATGTCTGGACAGGTTCTGTGGGCAGGAAGAAAAAATATGTTGTCAGAAGAAAACAGGATTGAAGTCCGTCTTCATGAAAAGATGGACAGTTCATCTGCATGAAAGGATGAAAAGAGAAAAGTATTTTAGGAGTATCAAATAGAGCAATAGATTAGTGTTATGATTGTTCATTATCCATATCTCTGTTTCTTTTATCTCAGGAATCAGAAATTTCCTTATGAGTTATTGCCAGTTTTTTTTTCTGAGGACATAGCAATGCTGTCCAAGTACAGTTCACATTTGTTAAAAGCTCCATGCAAGGGCATATCCTAAAATATTTCACAGATGGGAACTTGGACACATGTAGCCAAATAACATCAAAGTGTGGTCAATATGGCAAAAGCAACTGACAAGAAAAATTGCACAAACTATGAGAGGCTAAATATACAGGGAAGAACAAGATTCAATCTCTTCTGTCCCCTGTTTTGTGTAAACTACTTTTGCAGTTTGAACTCGGTTTGCTGTAAATGAAGTAAGCTAAGGAAAAGGGAGGAAAGGAGGGGGGAGAAGGAGAAAGCAACTGAGATCCTGAGTAACATATGAAAGAATGACAAGGGTAAGGATTAATAAGGACTTGCCTTGCCAAATTGGGACAGTTGGAGTGTCTGCAAGTACCTTAAGAGATCTTGAGGTTACTAGTACTAGCATACAAACAAACTGCCCCAACCACCAAATTATATGCCCCTTAAAACACAGGACAGCAGGAATCTAGCATTGCATTTGTCTGGCTCCAGTTCATTTCCCTGACTGCCACATGCTGGGGTGTGCGTGGAGGAATTCTCCAAATTGAGTGAGTCACCTCACATATTTTGATTTATTGGCTGTTACAGGGAAGAGGGGAGAAAGAAGAGAAGACTTGGTCCTTCTGGTATGGGCAGCACCTACATATACACCCTAAATATCTAATTATATAAGAAGAACATATAAAAGTTTATAATGTATTTAATATGGCCTCTTTACTCCCACACAAGAAATTCCACCCGGGGCCTTTTCTTACTACTCAGGCTAGACCTACACTGCCATATATTACAGTATCTGATCCCAGATCATCTGCTTTGAATTGGATTGTATGAGTTTACACTGCCATATAATCCAGTTCAAAGCAGATAATCTGGGATCAGAAACTGGATTATATTGCAGTGTAGATGGAGCCTCTTTTATAACACCAAGGATGCATCTACACAGATCAAACAAAACGAGTTTACCTTGTAACCACCGACAACAGGCCACATGATGCACGCCTGGTATTTATTTATTTATTTATTTACTATTCAAACTTATATGCCGCCACTCCCCTAGGGCTCGGAGCGGCTTACAAAACAAACTGGAATCTAACACAAATTAAAACAACAGATCAAAAGTCAAAAGCCTGTTGAAACAAATATATCTTACAAGCCTTGCAGAAGACTGATAAGTCCCGCAAGGCACAAACTTCTGGTGGCAGAGTGTTCCAGAGCGATGGTGCCAGTACTGAAAAGGCTCTGCGTCTAGTTGCTGTTAGATGCAAGGTTTTAACACTGGGAACTTCCAATAAATCTTGGTCCTCAGAACGGAGAGATCTCTGGGGTTGGTAGGGGGTGAGGCGGTCCCTTACGTACATCGGCCCCAGACCATATAAGGTCTTAAAGGTAAGTACCATTACTTTAAAAGTGATCCGGTGCTCAATTGGCAACCAATGCAGCTGCAGTAAGATTAGTGTTATGGGGCATCTCATCGGAGCTCTCGCAAGAAGTTGAGCAGCTTCATTTTGTACCAACTTGAGCTTCCGGATCACCAGTAGAGGAAGGCCAATGTAGAGGGCGTTACAGTAGTCCAGTCTTGAGATGACCATGGCCTGGATCACCATAGCTAGGTTGTCCCTGGACAGATAGGGGGCCAGCCGTCTAGCCTGCCGCAGATGAAAAAAGGTGGTTCTGCTAACGGAGGAGACCTGAGCCTCCATGGTCAGCAGAGGGTCCAAAAGGACTCCCAGACTCTTTACAATGATGATAGGTGTAGCGCCTTGCCATCCAGTGTAGGTAGCTGGATATCCCCACTGCCCAGTTGACCCAGCCATAGGATCTCCGTCTTTACCGGGTTTACCCTCATGGCACGCAGCCATCCAGTAACATTGGCATTGATGAAAATTATCGGGTAGAGTCTGGCCGGCCTTCCATCTTTAACATAAGCTGAGTGTCATCAGCGTACTGGTAACACTCAAGCCCAAAACCTCGAACCAGTTGAGCAAGTGGTCGCATATAGATGTTAAATAACAGATGTTTTGCAGCATAAGTGCTGCTTACAGTCATTAATCAAGTTTTGAGGGAGCCAAAATTTACTGTGGAGCTTCTGGGAAGGTCCAGAGTGACCCCAGAGTTTTTGAAATGTGGGCAGCTGGAGAGATCCAGTGGCCATACATTTAAAAAGTAAAAATAGTAATGAAAATAATGTGAAAACTTTCTGTTTCACTGGGCAGAAGCTTCTAGAGATCATGTGGCTGAGTACCCTGTTGCAACCTTACCAGAAGTGACTTCCAAGGAACTACTTGGAAACAGTGGCAACAGTAGTGGCCCTCAGGAGGAGAGAACAATGATATTTGTGGACTTCTTGTGCTGCATCCAGGGTAACTGTATAGCAGGCTACTCTAGAGTATTTTGGCTTGTGTAGATGCAGTCTATGGTTCTACTTCAACTAACTTGCCAAGATCCTATAGAATACTGGGTTTATAGTTTGGTCACTAGAACCTTCTGGCTGAAAATTCTAAGTACACCTCCCTAAACTGCAAATCCCAGGATTTGATAAAGTGCAGCCATAGCACATAAATAGAATGCAGCAATGTAAGTATCTAATGTAAAAGACCCTTGGCTTGGACAGCTGCCAGTGTACTGTAACACTTGTTAAAATCCTCTTGTTAATTCCAAAGTAAACCCACTGAATCAGTTGATGAGTGATAGGTAAGTGGTCATGGAAATTCAGCTGATTCAATCGATCTGTTCTAGTTGGTACTAGCAATTTGATTTAACCTAACTTTCCCCCTTTTTAAGGTCAGAAAAGCTGGGCTCTTCAGGACTAGCTCAGAGGAATATGAGCAATTCCCACAAAATGACAAAACCATCCAAAGGGGAAAAGGCAAAATTTAGTATGTTTCCAGTTGAATAAGCCTGGATGAGGACTGTATTTTGTTTCATTTTACTTTAAATTTTGTTTTAACTTGCAAACTGAATTCCATGCGGTGTTATGCCTATGTATAATTTAAGATGGTGGAATGTGCTTAAGGGTGTCGAGATGTAAATCACTCTTTTAAAAAAAAGAAGAAGACAAGAAAAAAAGAAATCCATTGTGGTAGGAATAGGTTAGTGAAACCTTGCTCACATCCCGGTAAGCAGACATATATTTTTGTATTTTTTATAGGTGGATACAATGCAGACTACGCAGCCCCCTCGCCACATTGAGGAATCGTGTAAAATGAATGTATGTGCTCGTAAGTGAAATATTTATGAATGACGCTCCAACTCTTAGTGTATGTTGGATCATAAAAAGACATGGGACCTCTGTTCAAGAATGTCATATAAAGAAATCGATTCCCAAGAGGCGGGGCCACTGCAAGGCTCAAAAGACATTTAAAGCAAAAGCTCATTATTTTTCAAACAGACTTCTGAATCATTCTTATTTTTTTAAGGAAAAAATATATGCACAAATGAGAAATTCCAATTACCTCTTGGGGAAAGCAGTGAACTGATTCAATAAATCCAAAGGGATGTGAGAAAGGTTGTTTTATTTTTTTTTCTTTCCGGTAAGATGAAATAGTCAACTATGGACAAACAGCATCACATGCCATCTTATGTAGGATTATGGACTGGAGAGCAAGACAGATTTTCCCGTTCAATCTGCCTCTGAGAAGACTGGAATGCTGTCAAAGAATTTCGTCTGATTAATGCTTTCGTTAGTAACCGGTGCGGGACAGGAGGATGGAATTTAAAGTGCTTAAAATAAGAAATTAGCTACGCTATGTAGGTTTTAAACAAATCCCTTAAGCATGTGCTAGATCAACAAAGAAATGGTATCTATACCTCAAAACTGATTGTGAAAAAAATCAGAATAAATACCATCATTTAGAAATATTTGTGGAGAAAGTAGGGATTGGACACTCTTGGTACACTGAGTAGGATGTTAAAGATTTTGTATGGGGAAGAAAACAAGCAATCTGTGAATTTCCCTGTCATAAAAATGTTTTTCATAAAAAACAAGTTGCAATCTGCTGAAATATATGTATTTTAAAACGTGTGATAGCTAAATCTTGACTTATTTATGACATTATTGGATTAAAACCGACCTTTCCTACTTGGAATTACAGTATTAGGGGGTCTTGGTTTAATTAAAAGGGAACCTGCATGAAACATATGCCCTCTTTGCATTTCTAGGCATTCTTAACATATCATTACAATTCAAAGATATTTTGGGGTAGCCAAAAGTTCAAAAACATAATTAGCACACATGAAAATGAGAAGCATTGGATGGATCTTTAGAAAGTTGTTGCAGAATGGGGCCCATAGAACCCAACTTTTAAGACTGGTCTTCTATCTGAAAACCCCCTCCCTGGGCTAGGGAGTGAATGAGATTGTGTAATGAGGGAAGGTGCTAAGAAGGGCTTTCCCTTTTTAGGGCATCTTTCACAATTTATTTCCTACTTTCCAAAATGCCACCATTTGATTCCCTTTCTCTCCCTGCCATCCATACCACACCATATTCAGTAAAGTTCTGTGGCCCTCAACAGAAGATTTGGCAATAGGACTTAGGGTGTCTTGTGGATCTTCCACTAGCCCCATTATGCACTCTCTTCTCTGGTTCCAACCTCTGAATTTATATGATGATGGAAAGAATTAGATGATCCTGTTCCCAAACACTGGTTTCATCTACATCAACCATTGCCATCATCAGTGTGGAAAGCAAGAACAGACTATTAGTGAATATTTCAGGTATTTATTTTTTCTTTTGAAATCTTTGCTTTCCTATAAACTGTAATGTTTTCACTGTTCAGATTGCTGGTTTATATCTGGTATATTTACATGAAGATGTCATATAATTACATTCATTAATAAAATGTGTACTTGACTTCACAGTATGCCTTTTCTGATACTCAAAAATCTAGTGTTGAAGATCACACTCTGAGGGCACAATCATGTCAAAGTTAAGTACTTTTAAATCCTATTGATTCCAGTGTGAGGAGTTAAAGCATGTACTTAATTCGCTGACTGAAGGCACTAGAACTTAAAAGTGCTTAGCTTTGGATTGATCGTGCCTTTGCTATTTGATTGCTATGCATTTTTTTCTTTGTAGAAAGTCTCACATCTTCTTTACTATTTGTTGTTTTTTTAAAAAAACTGGTGGTCTGTCCACTTTTGTATTCATTCTCAGGTGGTGGAATCTATAATATGGCAGAAGTTTTGGCCTCTTGTATGAAGAATATATTATCAAACTTGAGAGACTGTACACTTCTACTGTATTGATTTTTTCCCTTTCAGCAAATCAATAAGCAAAATTAAACTTTAAAACAAACCACAGATTCTTTCATTTTATTTTGATTTTGTACTTTCTTCATAATTGTACATGTTTCTTTGACCTTGGTGGGGTTCTAGTTTTTTGGAGGTAGAGATGATGTCATGCAACCCCAATGCCCTGTGCATTGATATGGGGCAGGGGTTCTCAAAGTTTATCAGCTGTGGGGCCCTATTTGAAGCCACAGTTTCTTCATGGAGCCCCAGTAAGTGTTTATATATAATGTAATATAATTTATATTATATTTTATATATCATACATGGCCAAACTTGGACACAGGGGCCACATTGTGTTTCAGAATTTGACAGATGGGCCAGACCAATAGCAGATGGATGGAGAGTGTTTGTGTGAACTGATTGGGAGGAACAAATTCCTTTGCACACTGCTCATATTTCATTTGCAGTGCAAACAAAAAAGAAACAAAGAACAATATAATATTTAAAATGAATAAAACTTTTAACCAACATAAACTTAATAGGATTTCAGTGGAAGACCCCAGGGACCATCGAGTCCAACCCCCTTCTGCCATGCAGTAAAAACACAATCAACGTAACCCCAACAGATGGCTACCCAGCCTTTGTTATAGTAATAATAATAATAATAATAATAATAATAATAATAATAGAAAAAAACTCAAGGGCCATCCAGTTCAACTTCCTCCTGCTGTGCAGGAAAATCACAATCAAAGCACCCCCTGAGTGGTGGGAAGAAAGAAGGCTTTGGAAGCAAAGAAGGTGGATGGGAAGAGGTTCTGTGTGGTGAGAAAAAGAGTCTGGGCAATGGGGAGCTGGGAAGGAGGGAAGGGTCTGTACCAGGAGTACACTGCTGCCACTGCTGCTGCTATTTCAGCAGCTCCAAACTTTAATTTCCCTGTATTACTCAAGAGGAGAAGGAGGAGGAAAGAGGAATAGATGGTGGGAAGCAGCATGGCATCACAGAGCCCCTCACTATCACTTGTGCCCCAAGGGCTCAGTAGAGCACAGTTCGAGAACCCCTGATATGGACGCATATCAACAGCTTTAGTATACCAATTAGAAAATTGAGGCAATGAGAAAGAAAGAAAATAAATATTTTCATGTATTATAACTTTGTCTATTACAGGCTGACTTTCTAAGTTCACATAAGGAAGTAATGGGTGTCTGTCTTGAATAGGTTCAAGAATATGCCTCCAGGGAATCTCGCTGGCTATACATGCCTTCCATCTCCTCATTCATTACCAAACTCGAGGAAGTCTGGGAAGTCATCCCATTTTTAAAAAGTCCCTTTTTAACAAAAATGACTTGGGAAGGTTAACATGGCAACCATTTCTCCATGGCATCAGAGTAGATTTAGGGGCCATGTATGTCCCCCAAAGATTCAGGGACCACAAAACAGCTCCGGGCAATGTATGCCCAATGGGCTGCACTTTTTCCACCCCATCATGTAAAATAAGTTAATCAATTTTGGATAAATTGGGAAATTGCTTATATGTTATGTTCAGTTTAGTTTTCGTTAATTTTGTAAATGATGCACTAAGTAATTCAGAGACACACACAACACAAATATAGCACTATGGTTCCACTTTTTACTATAATTTGGTGAAACAGTAGATCTCTTTGCCTCAGAATTCTAAACACACCCAGTTAAACTGCAGATCCCACAATCTCAGGGAATTGAACCCTAGAAGATGTAGCAGAATCATTTTGCTATATTTCCATTGTGAGAGAGGGCCCTCAGAATTCCATTTGGGATTCCAGCTTACAAGCATTAGTTATCCATTTTTACTATTCCACTGGTGTCATGTCAGCATTCTTGGGCTGGAAAAAATGCTACCATGACATGAAAGCCGATTTTTTTTTGGTGGCTGCCATTTTCCCCCAGAATATCCCCAGATGTTTTGAATATCTGCAAGATAAAATGGTGGCAGCTGGCGGAGGTGACTAAAGCTTGTTCTGCTGCCTTGACAGGTGGTGGTAAATAAGAAAAGAAAAATAAACATGGTGAAAGGAAATAACAAAACAGGTGAATATGAGGATCAAAACAAACAGCATTCAAATATACAGCATTCAAATATACATGAATAATGAAGGAAATCAAAACCCTGGGAAAAAGAAGACAAATGAATATTTTAACAGTTGAGATGAACAGAATAATAGAACAAATATACACTATTACATATAGGAGCTATTCCTTTTTACAGTAGATTAGTTTGTTTCCACTCAGTGAAACTTGTCAAGATGTGTATGAATGCTCAACACATCTCGGGCTGATTTTATGGGGATCATGGGAGCAACACCCCCTTTCTCTCTCTCTCTTTTTCTTTTTCTCTTCCTTATTTCATTTCCAAGGATAAAAGTTTAAGACATTGTTCTTCCAAAATAAGTTGCTTCTTTCCCCACTGTCATGATTTTTTTCATCAGGTTCTTAAAATGTTAACATTTGAATGTTAGTTACGCATTTAAGAATACAGTTTATATCTTTGAAGAAAAATGGGCAAGCAAGGTGTCCATGGGAATATAAACCCTAGACTTGAGCCCAAATCAGTTTGAGCAAACATGATTTGTAATATTTGGTGGGCTCTTTTGTATAATATCCAAAAACAGAATAGTGAGTGCAGGCATGTAGCTGGGGGGGGGGGGGGCTTGAGGGGCTTCAGCCCCCCCCCCCCCAAATTCTCATGGTGGTTCGTGAAAAGGCCTTACTGGTGCATTATTTAAACTGTTATGTTTATTCATATCATGATCTGATCACCATACTCATTATATCCCATATGCATGGGGGTATTGGGGTAATGATACAAAAGGTTTGCTAGGGTAGACCCTCTTTCACTCAGACTCAGCCCCCCCCCCAAATCAAAATCCTGGCTACGGGCCTGTGAGGAGGACACTGCAAAGCCCAGCAAAATGGATTCAGGGAGCCAGATTTTATTGGTTCAT